GTTTACACCAGGCAAGCAATCAAATCATTACCCAGAGCTCCACTTTCCTCTCACATGCTCAAGACCTTCACTGAACATGTTGAGCACAAGATGTGGCACAGGGTATTTCACACCCACTGGGGGGTACCTGGGAACTACAAGTGGGGGTGAGTAATGGGGAAGAAAATCAGAACCATCCCCCCTTCCTCTGTCCACCTGTGGCACAAGGGTCCTTTGCTGCCTCTCAGCCCAGGGAGCTCTTGGGATGTTGCCTGAGGAAGGGAGGGAGAGGGTGGTGGTGACTCTGCTGAAGTCAAATGAGTGACTCAAGGTAGCAGAGATAACTCAATCTTCATAAAGCCCATAACTGCCCACAATCCCAGGCACCATGGTATCAAAAAAATACCCATTGTACACATCCAAGTTAGCAGAACCAAACTCTGCAGTTTGAATTACCTGTGAACACTGAAGGAGAGACTTCAGAGTCCAAATGTTTGGAACAAATTGAAGATACATCCCAGTGTTGTTAAACTCAGTTGGTAAAGAGAGGCTCAGAGAGAAAATAAATAGCCTGTGTACAAACACAACCCAGAAGTTAATCAGCTCAGTATCAGAACAGCAGAAGCAATCTAGGCAGCTAACAGGATTCACAAATAAAACCTGAAGAGGGAAGGCTGCACTAGATTTTGAAAAGCATAAAGTTATAATGATACAGAGGAGAATACAAGAACCCTAAAGAAATCAATATAAGCAGGAACATCTAAACAGGCATTAGTCAAGCAGAGGAAAGAAAAGTTTTCCAGCTATAAAGTTAAAACTGCAATAAATACAAAGTCATTACAATCCACTTGTTTATTATGACCAACGAGAGCAGAGCAATAAGAATCCATCTGAATTAACACCACAAACCCAGACTGGGTCCTCAAAGCCGCTTCCTAGCAGGGCTGGTAGAACACCAGGACCAGCTACACCAAGAGGCTGCAGCATCTCCTGGTCGAGAGATTTTAACAGAGCACAGCAAAGGAGGAGCCCCCCTGCAGTACCCAGGGAGAGCAACAGGACAGGTTCAGTCAGGAGCCCAAAGCCCTAGAGAGGTTTGCAGCAATAAAGCAGAGTCAAGGTACAGCCAGGAAACCAATGCCCAGGTCAGGATAACACCTAGTGAAGGTCACACACAGCCCAGTGGTCTCTACAGCAGATCCATGTACAAACAGGCTCAATGCCAGAACAGAAATTCGGGGTTTAAATCACAATGTGACTCACAGAGCCCACAACTCCAGAATGACTGAGCCCCAGACCAGTTCAAACAGGGGCTAACCCTGGGGCTGAGCTTATATGGAGCTCCTGGGCCACGTGGGCAGGGGGTGGGTGGAGGCCCCAGGTGAGGGTGCTCAGGGCCATAAGGGGCTGTCAGAGCACTCAGAACTATTGCAGCTGCTAATGCTAAAGTAATAATGGCACTGCTGGCTTCTGCTTAATGCTATTTATTCATCAAGGGTAACTTGGACTCATTCCAAATGCCATCTTATAAATAAATGTCTTAAAAACACAACTTTCAAAATTTTCTAATTTAATTTTTAGGATAGTCCTGTCACACACACAGAATGCAGTTTATGTGCTTGGGTATGACTTGTGCTGCATTTTGATGTGCCTGTTCTGAGACAGTGATTTCAGGAGTATTGGAAAGGACAGATGAGACCACTGGTTATAACATACTTCACTGAAGGGCCCCCCCAACACACTTGGCTAAGCTCTAGTTCACCCAAAACATCAGCAAATATGCCAGTGTCACTCTCATCCACAGGGTATTTTAAGTACCAGAATGCTAAAGTAATTTCAATACAAGGATTAACAGAGGGCTATGAACAAGCATGACATCATTTATGGATAGTTGGTGTGGATGCTTCATGACTGTTTCTGCAGATTAACATCTGCCTCCTGAGCTGGGGGGAAGAAAAAAAACCATCCCCAACCTCACTGGCAAACCACTGGAGAACGCTCCTGATGTTCACACACCAATCTCATTTCACTTTAGGAGGACATTAAGTTGTTGTAGTTCTTGCTCTGACAAAGCATATTCACCCCTAAAACTCTGGGGTTTAGTAATTATAAGACAGAAAGATAAAGTGTTAGAATAGCTGGGATGGAAGGAAAACATAACCTCAGAAGTGAAGTCAGGTGTCCAATTCAATGTCTCAGTTTTAAAATGTTCCCTGAATACAAATAGAGCTTAGAATTGGGGGGTGTTAATGTTGTTTTCCACTCAATCAGAGTGAATCATAAACATTACCTGTCACAGCTGGTAACTGCAACTGGATGGAGTCTGATTTACTCTCAGGAGATTATTATGCCACACAGGTATATAATATCTCAAACTCCAAAGCTATGACTGCTAAAATCAGTTTAATTATACTCCTGGAAATCAGTGGAAGACTGAATAGAAAGACCAAAGCTTCTGTAGAAATGCTAAAGAAGCTTTGGGTCTTACGAATACACTGATGTAAATGCTTTCAGATTCAGCTATAATGGTACTATAATTTATTTTTTTTTTCAAGGGAAGTACACCTATCTGCAAATTTGTATAAGCTGAAATACTGTAAAGGAACCAGGAAGTTATACTTCTGTCCTCTATATCCACTGTACTGAAGAAAAAATACGGATATTTGTCATTGCTGAAATAACAAAAGCTGGATCCTCCCATGAGAGATTGACAGAACCCCTTGTTAATTATTGTGACAGTTTCATCGTGGATTCTTACTGTGGATTGCAGGTAAGTGCTCAGACCTTGTAGAGGAAAGAAGAGCTGGTTTGTGCTCCAGAGCAAGTCACTGGCTGGGCACAAAGGGACACAGCAGATGTGTCCAGACACACAGTTGTACTGGGAGTAGCAAGGCACAGAAATGGCACAGGGATCCTGGTCTTGCCTTTGCATCCCTAGTGGGGTAAAATTTGGCTGCTTTTGATTTGGGGGGTATTTTTGCCGACATTTTGCTCAATCTCTTTGCAGAGATTTCCCTGCAGCTGTTTGCAGCACAGAGGTTTAACCAGCCTTCCTGTGAACTGACACAGGAAAGGGAACAGCAGAACACAGGCATGACAAGGGCAGTGGAGACTGGAAATGTGGCCTTGCACTTTTCTGTGTGTGAGAGAACACACGGGCTGGGAAAAGGTTGAAAAGGAAGGGCAGGAAAAGCTAAGGCAGTCAAGGATAGCCATGGAGTAGAGGAATCTTCTTTTGAAGCAATATTGCAGGCAGAAAATAGAATAATACTGCACAAAGAGAAGAATGTAATTCATCTTTATGGATATTTTTAAGAAGGAAGTTAAAGTTGTATGCCAAACAGGGAAAGCCACTCTGTTGGAAGCTTATCATGGTAGTAAAAGGCCAGGGAAAACCCCCAAAACCCAAAACAAACCCCAAACTGCTCTTTATGCAAAGTGTTATGGTTGTTCACGGGTAACTTGTATCTGCAAAACTACCTCTAAACCACAAGAAACACTTCAGTTATCACTTCTTTTAATGGCAGTCAGGATAGTATCTCTTTAGTAACAACACAATAACAATATCACATTTGTAAAACAGGTATATTGGCAAGTGTTGGCAAGTTACAAAGCAAACTCTGCATAGTCTCTGTTTTAATTAACCAGCTGTTGTTCCTTTGCTAAAGATGACACAGCTTTGAGTGACTATTACTGTAATGATGTTAACATTGTGATGCTTTGAATGCTGTAGGGTGGATGTACAAGGTAACCTAGTTAGTTTTTGTAACTACAGATTTAAGGTTAATTTGTTGCAGCAAAATTATTCTGGAAGACAAAACCAGCTGTAGTTAAAAAGATCTGAGGCAGATCTTTAATCTGGTCACAAGTCAAAATACATACTAATGGCTGCACTTCAGCTAAATCAGATTAAATTACTTTAATTGCATGATTATTAACTGCTGCAGATAGAGGCCCCAGTACGTATGATACTAATTTATGTAAGGGACTTATACAGGTGTAACTGTTTCTCATGCTGGTATCGATGTATTGGTATGGAAACCATTTACACAATCTAACAGTGGCAGAACAGTTCAGAGCAGTGTAAGGAAAGCCCGGAGGCTCCTTTGCTTTGCAGCCCCTTCGTTGCTGGTGTTGTGTCCTGGCTGTGTCAGAACAGTGTGGCAGCAGGACCAGGGAGGGGATTCTTGCCCTGTGCTGAGGTCACCCCTGCAGTGCTGTGTCCTGCTCTGGGCCCTCAGCTCAGGAAGGACAGGGAGGGGCTGGAGCAGGGGCAGAGAAAGGAACACAGCTGGGGAAGGAGCACAGGTCTGATGAGGAGCAGCTGAGGGAGCTGGGGGGAACTCAGCCTGAAGGAGGCTCAGGTGTGACTTAATTGCTCTCTACTCCTTAAAAGGAGGGTGTAAGGAGATGGGACCCTTTTTTCCCAGGCAACCAGCGACGGGGTGAGAGAAAACGGCCTCAACTCGTGCGAAGGAAGGTGCAGGTTGGACGTCAGGAAGAATTTCTTCACAGAAAGGGTGAGTAGACATTGGAAGGGGCTGTCCAGGGAGGTGGTAGTGTCCCCGACCCTGGAGGTGCTTAACGAAGCCCTGTTCTGGGTGACAAGGTGGTGTTTGGTCACAGGTTGGATTCGATGATCCTGTTACTTGCAAACGCCTTGTGCGGCCCAGCCTGCGGGCTCTGCGCTGCTGTGCCTGGGCTCGTTCGGCACCCTGTGCCGGGGGTAGGACGCGGGGGGCTGCTTCGGCATTCCTCCTCCTGCTCCCCGAGGAGCTGCCGTCTCCCGGTGCCCGCGGTGCCGGGCGGAGCGGGAGCGGCGCTGCCTCCCTCTGGGGTGCGGGTGGCTCCGGCAGAGGTTCCTGTTCCCCCCGCACAGGTATGGCTGAGGCGGGCTGTGCCCCGGCCGGTGCCGGCTCCATCCCCACCGAACCCGCTGTGCCCGCGCTCCCTCAGCGCCGGGCGGGCAGGGCGGGAGCGGCCCGCAGTGATGACGCGCTTCCTGCCCTCCCCGCGGGGGTCTGCGCCGAGCCCGCTCCGCGGCGGCTGCGGGAGCGGCGGGGCCGCAGCGGCCGCGGGCGAGCGGGCGAAGGACGGGAGGAGGCGGGGGAGCGGCGGGGCTCGGGCGCCCCGCGGTGCCGCAGCAACGCCGTGCCCGGTAGGAACCCGCGGGGACACTCGCCTTGCTCCGCCGGTGCACGGCGCGCGGAGCGTGCGGTCCCTGCCCGGCACCGTGAGGGGGAACGCTCTGCGCGGGCAGCGCTCGGCGCTGAGGGGCTCGGGGGTTATGGCCAGCTCTTGGTGCTGTGGGGTTTGGTGCTGAGGGGCTCGGGGGACGCGGGCAGCGCTCGGCGCTGTGGGGCTCAGGGATTGTAGCTAGCTCTAGGTGCTGAGGGGCTCGGGGGGCGCGGGCAGCTCTCGGCGCTGTGGGGCTCAGGGATTGTAGCTAGCTCTAGGTGCTGAGGGCTCGGGGACGCGGGCAGCGCTCGGCGCTGTGGGGCTCAGGGATTGTAGCTAGCTCTAGGTGCTGAGGGGCTCGGGGGACGCGGGCAGTGCTCGGCGCTGTGGGGCTCAGGGATTGTAGCTAGCTCTAGGTGCTGAGGGGCTCGGGGGACGCGGGCAGCGCTCGGCGCTGTGGGGCTCTGGGGCTTGGGGCACCGCTCGATGTGCGGGCACAGTGCTCCGCTGGGAGCCTCAGCCCCGGTGCCCCCGTGCAGCCTCGCCCGGGGCAGCGCTGCCCGACCAACAAGTTGCCGGTTCCAGGGAGCGCAGCCCGGCCCGGGGCTGTGCGGGGAGCGGCCCCGGCTCACCGACCCTTGGCTAGGAGCGGGGCCGGCATGGGATGCGGGGGATCCCGCGGTCTCCCGGCGTTCCCCCGTGCCGTGCAGGGCTGGGATGGATGGAGGGAGGTGCTGGAGTTGGCGCTTCCTTCGCGTAGCCGGCCCGGGGTGGGTTTGCCGGAGCTGTTCGCTGTCGGGCTCTGCCGGCGACCGTGATGGATAAAAACCCTTTTCGCGATACGCTGTGAAGCGACGACCTCCCAAGGACGATCGCGCCGCGTCTGCGTACGCGTGGAGCCGTATCCATCTCCCCACCGGGCTGTCACAGGGGGCCAACCCTGAGGGAGGGCAGGACACGGCCCCAGCGCAGCACACACGGGGGTGGGCGGGCGGCCGAGCTGCTCCGCAGCCCCCCGTTCCCCGGAGCTGCACCGGTCCAGGGCCCGCTGGGGCTCCGTGTCCGGGACTGAGCAAAGCAAAGCCTCCCCCGGTGCTTGCAGAGGGTCTGTCCGTGCCGTGTCCTGACCCCTCTTTCCTCCGTGCCACCCCCGCAGGTGTCTGGGGTGCAGGACAGCCTTGCTTTGGGATGTCCGTGGGGCCCTGTCACGGTGCCGCTGCATGGGAACACCTGGTGGGAACGGGGCCCCTGCTGGCTTTCTGCTCACCTTGTGTGGCGCTTTTGTTTTGCTGACCTGCCATTTCAGGGTTTTTAGGCTTCTTGTGTGTTAAAATGCTGCTGCAATGCCTGGTTAGAAAGGTTGTGGGAATGTTCATTGATTGAAAAAAACCCCCTCTTGTCGGATTAAACCCTTGACCACTTCCCTCCAAATCTTTTTAAAGTTTGTTTTGCAGACCTGTATTTTAGAGCCAAGTTTGAGCCATATTAAATTTCAAGCCAGAAAGCCACTCCTGAGTTTGGAAGTACATTACTTAAAGGGCTTGGGGAGTTCTGCATCATCAGAAGAGCCCAGCAGCTATGGAACCATGTCCCTGTGATTTAAAAACAAAGAACACATTTCTGAGGTTGCTCTTGCTTATGTAAAACATCACTTATTCGTATGAGTGCAAGCTGCCAGCGTTAGTTTTAAATACCTTACAAATTGCAGTATATGGAAAGTTTTCATATCTGTTGGAGGTAATTCTTCCAACAGAACAGCTGTTAGCTAAGTTTACTGTGAGTTAAGTTGGATGAACTACCTTTTCTGCTTTAATTTTCAAAACATGACATTTCCAGGGGAGAGTGAAGGTTACCAGACAGCTGAGGAGGGATGGGGGTGTCTCTTGCCTCTTGGAAGAGCATTTCATTTGAGCTTCATAATGCTTCACCCAACTCACTGGTCACTGCAGAACTAAAGGGTTGAGTGGAATTCTGGCTTATCTATTGAGAACAAAATTACTGAGCTTAAGTAAGATAAGAATAGTTCTTGTTTCTGGTTGCCAGTCTAGGTGTCTGGGTTAACTACTGCAAATTCAGGCAATATTCAAGTTCTGAATCTCAGCAGAAAACTAGATAAAGACTACAGCAGCTTCATATAGGATAGCCATTAATTTCACCCTTCAAATTACAGCAGTTTATCCTGAATAGTTGTCCTGTGTGTTCTTCGAGTAACATCTGTTGCATGATATCATGTGATGGAATGTGGTACAGCCTAATTTGAGTTGATTTGAAATGTTGCCATTGCACTGTAGTAGTGCCTGAGAGGGCGAGAGGGTTTGTGGTGTGTGTGTGATGAATAGATTGGTTACGAGTAGATGATGTTGAGAAAGATGAACTTGCATTTGAACTGCAAAGGATTAAGTGATTTTACTCTGAGCTTGGTTTGTTGTACAGTTTTGCTCAGACTCCTTTCATCATTTGCCAGCTAATCTAATCACTGAATTCTACTTACATTAGGAAATGCATCTATGGTTATAAATATAACTGATTAGAACAAAACACCACTAACAGTAGATTCAAGTCTTGGTTTGGAGTGGGAGGAGCAACTTGGAAGAGCTGCCTGGCTGTGGCATAGCTTGAACTGCACAGTCTTCTTGATGATTTAGAATTTCTGCTGTGAAAACCTTCTCTTATTTGGTATTGTTTCTACAAGGATTTGACTGCACAGAGCAGGGGTGTTCTGAGGCATTATTGTTTGGACTGTGTCACTGTATGTGCTTACCTATATAATGTACATCTATTAAAGTGCATTAATAATTAATAGGTGGCTTGCAAAAACGACAGTACCTAATTAGTCTCCACATGCAGACAGTAGTACAGGCATCACCTCCCTTCCTTCTTGTGGCACTGCAGTGTCAGACAACTGGGATATCAGTGTTTTATGTTCCTGAAACGTGAGCTGAAGCATCCCTCCAATCCATAATTTTAGCATTTTAGTTCTGAGAACACCATTTGAGGTATTTCTCAGTTCCCAGTCCTATCTGACCCTCAGAGATAGCTGGTAAACTGCCAGATGTGTGGACATCTTGATTATTTTGTTTTAATATGCAGAGTTTCTTGTTAAGAAGCCTTTCTCAGATGCTGCCTTTGCACCAGGCCATAATTAGGAAAGAAGTGTGAATGTGTTTACAGACCACTGTATCCAGCTTTCAGAAATTCTTTTCTTTTCCCAGCCTTTGAATCTTTAAGAGGTTTGGCAAGTCTGCTTATGCATGTTTCTGCAGACAATAGAATGCTGATGCAAATTGGGAACAGCAAGCAGAATGGTTGGGTGTTGTTGCAGATGGGGGGAGGATGTCTTAATAAGGGATTATTGCATTTCATTTGTTTGCATTTGGATTTTAGTGTGAGTTGGGACAAACGTTACTGATTTGGAGCTGGAAATTGCAGTTTTAGGTTGTCCTGTCTGTTGGTACCTGAAGGAGAAGGCAGATTTTTACCTCTGGGCTTCTGCTTTTGACCACATACAGTTCTAAGACTATAAATCAAATTGAACTGAAGAATTTCTGGGGACAAGGGAAGTACAAATGATAAAGCAGAGGTTTTTTTTTTCAGAGCAGTTTGGTTTCCAAGTTCCAGAGGCTATATTAAGCAGAATAATCTAGGCTTTTGCAACTCCGTGGATGAGATTATGATTATGGACATCATGTCGTGCCTTAAGCTCTTGTGTGCTGTATTTTTCTTGTGATTAAACAATCCGTTCCTGTTTCAAGCAGAATGCCTTGAGGGTGGCCCAGGCTCCTTAGATGTGTTAGGCTGATGCCCAGGGTGCTGTGAAACCCTGTGTGTGCTCAGAATTGAGAGAATCGTGGCCTTTTGTCTCTGGGTGCAGGGAAGTTGTGCCTTTGGAGTGAGGCTGATGTGCCTGGGGATGAGAAGGTGCTGAGGAGCCTGTGGGCAGTTCTGACACCAGGCTTGTAACTGTGCACAATGAATTTGCAGGGTTTCTGGCCCTGCTAATGCTGCTGAAAACCCCTTTGCCAGCAGTGTCAGAGAACCCTTTCCCTGGCTGGGCTGTGTGCACACGTGCTTATCTTGGAGCTGAGTTTGAATTAGCCTGCATACTTGAGGCAATTGTGATAACATTTTGATATTTTCCACTTCCAGTTGCAGGCTGGGATTTCATCCCCAGAGATCCACCCCCTCGATTCTCAAAGCTCCGGCGCCTTTTTCCTCTGAAGCGCCTCCGAGAAGCTGGAAAATGCACTGACTGACTCCCCAAGGTGAGGGTGACTGCACAACAGTAAGTCTTGTCTTAAAATATCTTTACAGTATTGCAGTGCTGACTGACTTGTACTCCCTTGACTTGGCAGCAACCAGTTGGATTTGTGCCAAGCTGGTTCAGGCTGGCACTTGAGGCTGCCTTCCTTTCATTCTCAGTAGGTAGCTCATCTTTCTGTGTTTGGGCAGCAGGGAGAAAGTGTGAGCTGAAGTGAGTTGTAAATGAACCTCGTGTCTTTCTGGCAACTTTGCTAAGGTTGAGATTTCGTGTTTCTGTGAAAAAGTGACATACAGGCCATGAATAAGCAGGAGGGTCTCAGTCTTCTAAATCACAGCAAATAACAGTCGAGGTGATAAAGAATCAATGGTACTGCATGGACTGATGAGTTTTTCGAGCTGAATAACAATTTACGTTTGTCAGCTGTGGTAGAGGTTTGTTGCTCTAGTCTATCAAAGTGTTCAGTGCTTTGCTGAAGTGTTTGCTGTGGTGTGAGAACCTCTTAAACAGTGGTGGTGTTTCTAGCTTAGAAAGGTCTTCAGAGTTTTGTAATGCCTTTCTTATTACATATTCTTGTTTATTTGCTTATAATGATCTCTCTCTGCCTTTCTTGGGAGTTGGTATCGGTAATGTGGCAAACCTTTTGTCTCAGCTCACTCAAGGCCAGCTTGTACTATAGTTTGGTTATAGTGGGCAAGTTCTGATTTTTCTGGAATGTGAGATTTAAAGTTTGTGTTTAGATCCCATAAATATAAGCATAAAACAGTTTCAAAACTTGCTGGCTTGAATTTGTACATCTGGAAAGATTAATTGGTCTAAAAGTAATTTACAACAAGTACCTTTTACCTTTGTCCAATTTAAATGTGCCAAGTGCCGCGTCGGGAAATGTGAGGTGGGACTTGGCAGCAAAAACAGAAGCAGGAAAGGCAAGTCAGCCATGCCTGACAGAAGTGCTGGTGCCTGTGGTAACCCCGAGGGAGGATTGTGTCAGGAACATGATGGTGACTGAGGGACATGATCCTTAGACACAGTAAAAATATTTAGATACCAGGGCAGAATCAAAATTTAGCAATGGGCCTATAAATGAAGTCAAAAAGCCCAAACTGAATTCCTGTAGCTTGCAAGTTTTGTAACTCCTGTCACTTCTTGTTTTTTGTGATTCTTGTAGTTCTCTCTGATTTTTGACTGAAAGGTTTTCTTGGATGATTTTTTTGTTGTGGTATAAGGAAACATCTGTTGGCAAGGGGGTATCTGAAGGTTCTGGGGAAAGGATCAAGTGGGAGCCACTGCTGCACAACCAGAATGAGGGGCAAGCAGAAGGAACCAGTGGCACATCTGCTGGGTCAGGGGATCACTGAAGTGATGGGAGCCTGAGCTCTGGTGCAAATATTTAATGGTTGAAATTGCCCCATGAGAAGATTTAGGGAAGTGTTACTTGTTCTCAGGTGACTTCTCTTTGAACAGTGCTCTAAAATTCTCGTTCTTCTTGCACACTTCCTGAAAGCAAAGGCTTTCAGCAGCCTGTTTGTATTGATGGCTGTGGTGGTCCAGGTGCCAACCAGATTTTAATCCATTCTGCCTAACAAAAAGGCAAGAAATAGTAAATAAGGAACAATGGGATTTAAGTTTCACAAGGCACTTGCTTTTCTGTAGGAATCCCACAAGACAAAAGATATTGGGAGGGGCCTGGGCAGAGAATGTGTTCTAAAAGTTTTCATCTTACAACTTCAGCTGGCTTTATAAGAGCACTCCCAGGGGAATGGCAGCGTTTCAGTGGCAAAGAGAGCAGGCAGAAAAACGCCTTGCTTGTGGTACAAGTGTGTGGTTGAGGTCAACTGCTTGTGCAGCAGTTGTTGGAGATTGTTTAACGCAGATGAAGGGAGTGTGCCGTGAGTTGGGGGGTAGAGGTGCCCTGGGGATCCAAGCAGGGCACTGCTGAGGCAACTGTGAGGCCAGGCTGTGCAAGTGGCCGGGTAATGACTGTGAATATCCGTGCAGGAACAGCGTGTTCCTGCCTAATGCCATTATCATTCCTTTTCAAACATGAATTGCAGTTTGAAGCGTTACAAATGCCATCTGCCTATGAGGGCAAAAACAAAACCCAAACCCTGTTATTTTTTGTTGAAAGCTAAAACCAAAACACTGTGTTCCATGTGGATCTTCATACAGTCAGTCATTGCCTTAATTTCCCTGGAATAGCATTGCCAGCCTGCCAGGTTTTCATTTAAGGCAGTGATTTCTGAAGAGCTTTCTTATCTCACTCCCTTATCAGCAAAAGCTTTGTAAGCACACACTGCCAAACTGTGTGTATTATTTATAAATTATACACATATACTGCTGCACTAACACAGGGCCTACACAAAAAATAAAAATAAGGAAAGAACAAGACAAGCACTTCCGAAAACTTGTTTTATTTTTTTACAAAACCCTTTTCTCTCTCATCATTCAGTGTGAGCTCTATAATTGAATATGCCTCACTATTTTTTTTTTAAATGTTGGTTTATCACTTGGATACAACCACTGGGGAGCTTGTTCTAAGTTCAGTTTATTCCAGTACTTTGTTTTAGTGGCCACAGATCCAAGGGGGGGAAGTGCATTGTTGGTTGTGCTTACTAAATCATGAGACTGATTTTCCACTCTCATGCACTAACTATGCAAAGGTTCTCCTTGGAATTCATCTAATAAATTTCCATCTTGCCTCGTGTCAATCAGTTGCTCTTGCAGGCTAAAGGGAAGGTGTTGCTTTCTTGTCTTCTCCTGAAACTCTCCTTTTGGAAGATTTAAAAAAAAAAACACTAAAGGTTAGAAATTATATACAGCTTTCAGAGGTTTTTATAGGTGAAGTTTAATTTTCACCAGCAAAATCACCCAGCAGTGGAAACATTTCCAAGTATCAGTTTTCAAAACAGTCTGTGTAGAGAGAGTTTCTTTTGAAAATCAGTTACTTTGGTGCTCACTGTTAAATACACAAGGTGAAGCTGGTATTTTATTTGCAAATATCTGGTAGGTAGCATAGTACTGACAGCCAGTTGTCATCACAGCAAAGATGAGCAAATTTTGAGCAGTTGTCTTTGTGGAAACCCCCCACATGTTGGGTTAAATGTGCTGACTCTTTGAAGCACTTTGCCACGAGGTAACTAGCAAAACTCCGTGGGGGAATATGGATTTCATGGCCACTCCCCATCTCCTTACAAGGTATTGTAAAGATAATACTATTGAAAGATCTTGTTTTCATAAAATTTTGTAACCAATGACATCCTGCAGCACTTCGGGCCCCAGTGTTGCTGCATTGGTTTGCCTGTGAACGATACAGTGAAAGAATTTCATGTGGTGATGGAGTGGCTGCTTTAACTGGAATAACAAAATAAAGAGATTGCAGTGTGAAGGTTACAGAGAGAACCACACAAGTGTACACTTGCAGAGTTTCCCATAAAACATTGTTTCTATCAAAGAAATAACTTACTGTTGAGATCTGTGGAGTCTCCTCAGATCCATCTTTGCTGTAGCTCTTGAGAGCAGTTGCAGTTCATCCCTGAAACAATGCAGCCCTCACTGTAAGCTGAGATGTGTTGGAAACATCTGTACACCCAGCCAGCAGCACAGCAAACCTCCCACACTCCACTGGTTGTTCTGATACTCCTTTCTTCAAATCTTCAGCTGTTTTCTATGAGTCTTCCAGCAGGATTTGCTGACAAAGGAATGGCGTGTTGTGTTCCATGTGTTATTTCAACCATATTTTACTGCAGCAGGAAGCCCAAATGCTTCTCTGATGGTTGATGCCTTTGTGCCTTTTGCTATAAAGTAAGGAACCTTAAAAGAGGCTTTTATTTGCCATGGCTTGAAACCAGTGGTGTAGAAATTGTAGAGATTTGTCCTCCCCTTCTGGGGGCCTAATTTTGAGGTGTCTTACTAATCATGATGGCTTCATATTATCATTATCTAATATGTCAAGGTACAGTGTGCTCGTAGGGGGAGGTTCATCATTAATGATGACAGATATAAATCCGTATTTCAAATAGTCATCTTCATAATTTTTTTTTTTGACCAACTTTTTGTCAGATCTGATTAGATTGTTGATTTTTACCTCATAATGTGTGTGACAGGGAGCTTGTACTGGGAATAGGAAGTGAGTTGTTGCACATGGATTTTGAAGCAAAAGCAAGATCTGTCCTGGCATCTGTGTATCTCCCATAGTAACACTGCAGAGTCTGTGGAATCAGAGGTGATTTCAGCAAGATTGCAATTGTAGGGAGCCCTAAAGCAGTGGTGCATTTCCCTGGTTAAAATTCCTTGTTTTCCCTTGCCTCATGTCACTGTACTTTAAAATAGGCTATTTATTACATGTGTTGTGACAGCATGCAGATTTTTAGAGGCGTGTCTTTGTGCAGTGTAGCCTTGGGTCCTGCCAGCTAAACTTTTAGAAATAAGCATTCTTAAATAATTGGAGTTTTGTTTGGTCTCTGGTTTGGTTTTGGTTTTTTTTTTGTTCCACCTGGGTCTTGTAAGAAGGGACAGCAGTTCTTGCAGTTAGTTTAGCAGCCAACACAGTGTGGTTCTCTCCTGCCTCAGGCTGCAGCAGATAAATTCCCTGTACCTGCTGAACATCTGCTATCAGGCCCCAGTTCTGCCCTGGTACCCACCCAAAAAGGGTATCTGGTCATGTACAGCTCATCTCTCTCTGGCTGCCCTGTGAGCTGGAAGGACTCAAGTGCCACTTTTAGCCCCTGAAGAAGATGCAAAAGCAAGGTGGGATTGCAGATAATGGTCCTCGGGGTGAAAAGGATAAAGCTGGGAGTTGGTTTTTGAAATTTGTTTACGAGGCACTGAAAGCCAAAGGAAGAAATGTAGAATGAAGACAAAAATAATAGAATAAAAGGAAAAATGAGAAAAGCATTTAAAAAAAAACCCCAAACCAAACTGTAGTTACAGCTTTGTAAAGACTGAAAATTTCCAGTAATGTGTATTGACTAATTGTTTCTTTTTTCTGGATTATATACATGTCAA